AATCCTATCTTTTTCCACCAGCTCCTTATACTTCTTATCCTCTGTACAACACCATGTAACTTCTTCATATATGTCTAGCTGCTGCCAATGCCTATAGAGTATGTTAAAGTACTCAGCAACAGAGGACTCTCCTTGTCGAAGATCATGGAGTATGCTTTTTATCTCAACCACAACATATGTGTTGTCCATGTTTGAGTACATCTCCTTCACTGCATTCCATATGTCTTTTGCAGTGTCATAGAACATGAAATTTTCACGAATTTCATTTGTCATGGTGTTGAGCAGCCATGACATTACTTGACTGTTCTCAAGCTTCCATTTTTGAAGTTTTGTGTCCCTTCCTCAGGGCACTTCGAATCTCTTGTGATGTAGCCTTCTCTTCCTTTCCCTTGGAGGAAGATCTTGACTGACCTTACCCATTGGGTATAGTTTTGACCATTCTGTTTATGGCCAGTGATGAGATGTGTAAGCCCATTGTGTGAGCTGGTTAGAGATGATCCTCCAGCGTGGGCGATTCATCAGATTTGGTTTCCACCATGGCTTGGCGGCAGCTAGGGTTAAGGATGGTTCAGATCATGCTCTGAACCATGCGGAAAACTTTTTTTATTTTCTTGAATTTGTGAATGATACATTGGGGATATTAATCTAGCCTAGAAATCAGGGAAATTGATCTTCCCATAAAAGCTAATTCTAAATAAGGCAAATGAAAAATTACAGCTAACAATTATTACACAGAATCCCTAATGAACTGTACAAGGAAGTGTTTACCGGCCAGCAGTGGCGGACAGCAACGGTGAACAAGAGAACGGACACTCTGAAGGTGCGTTGGGGTGCGATGAAGGCAACCCACAGCTTAACGGCAATGAAGGCAACTAAGATTCAAGAGCCGCCATGCAGAAGCTGAGCCCCCAAGATCGGGAGCTCTAATACCAAGTCGAAAATAAGTGTGAAGGAATTAAAATATTATTTTCTGATATTGAATGCTGTACAGGGTCTATACATTTTATAGGGAGCTAATCTGTCTAAATAAGGAAATAATAAATTACAAGGAGGATAAAAATAAATCAAATTTGTCCCTAAGAAAAGAAAATAAATCTGTGATGAATAGAAATAATCTCCTAAATTTACGCCTATTTACAACAGTTAGTATAATAGTATGTTGATCTCAGAAGAATATGCGTATTTTTTGATAGATATAATTTCATCTTGTTTTAGGATTCTTTAAGTGATGAGACCAAGTGCAAAAATTATTGTTGAGATTAATGTATGTAAATAAGAAAACTATGTAAATAGGGTAACTATTTAATTAGCATAATTTTAGATAATAAAATATCATGTAATTATTATGCAATATCATGTAATTATCATGCATTATTATTATAACATAAATATAGCCCTGCTATGTATTCAAACACGCGGATTCATCCTGATATCTAGAGTCCGACATGAGTGCAATACTAATCTGCGCAATACCAATTGGCCCACTGTCTATTGTTGTAAAAAAAATTTTCAGAAACCACTTTGTTCTCTGTTTCTAATCTGGTTCCACCATATTCTTTCTTTGACAGACAATGTTTATGACCTTTCTCTCTCCTCAACGCTGCCCATGGCTGCTACCAATTTTCCAAGGCTAGACCTACTATCTTTACCAACCACATCACTGCTCCTCTTTCTACTGAGCAGTTGGATGGTAAAATTTATACTGCATAAGCTTCCAATATTCATCTTTGGCTTGTTGGATAGGATTATGATGAGCATATCACCACAAAAGCTGAAACATTTGTTGAGGCTAATTGTCCTCATTGGAAGAAGATCGATGTCCAACTTTGTTGCATTATTAAGCCTACCCTTCATCCTCTAATCGACCTGTTTTCCATGCCCATGAGACGTGAAGCTGTAGGGACTCGAAATAAGTCTCTTTATACCAATAAAACTCAGCTTTATGGGATATGTCATGAGACTGTTATTGGAGCTAAATCTCTTGACAATTCTACGGCTACCTACCTAGGTTGATTTTCTAGCCTCCTTCACGATTTCAATGAGCTCTTATCTCATGTTGATAAAACTAGCAAGCAGTTTGAGAAGCAATTCTTTGTTACTAGCCTTGTATGATTTACCTGAGACACATTTCAATGTTCGCAACCAAATTTAGGGATATCCCACTATTCCTACTCTAAACACTCCCCAGTCCACCTTGCTTTGTATTTTGACTAAGACATTTATCAAGATTGTTCCTTCTCCTCTTGTGCACTTCATGGTTGCCATCCTCGCATGGCCAACTTTGCTCACTTTTCTTCAAAGGGCCCATCTGACTCCTCCTCAGGTGTAATTTGTGTCTTATGATGAGTTTCTAAAATGGTGAAATCCTCAATCTTCCAGTTCCATTGGGCAAACTAGTAATTTCTTTGTTGACATCCCCCATTCCCTTGGTTTTTGGGTTCTTGATTCTAGGGCCACCGATCACATTAATGATAATAAATCACTTTTCTCTACTCTGTCCTTTTCTAATTTTTTTATCCCTAATCATTGTGTCTAATGGTTCCCAACATAACCTAGAGGTATTGGCATTGTATTCATTCTTCCATGTGTTTCCATTGATAATGTCTTTTATGTTCCAGGGTCCTTTAATCTACTCTTTATCCATTGTCTTACTCATTTCCTAATTTGTGTTGTTTCATTTACCGAAGATTTTGTTACTATGCAAAACCGAAGTTCGGACAGGATGATTACCTTTATATGTGAGTCCCAAGGTTTGTATATGACCAAGGAGGACATTTTTAAGGTAATGTCAACAAATAAGCCGAGACAAGGCTAAGGGAGGAGCAAAACTAAGAAGACAACTTGGCACCAAAGAGGAATAGGAGGAGAGTGGTAAATGGGGTTCCTTAGACAGCCTTGAATGCACGTACTCTAGGTGACCAACCTAGGAGTTAGGAATTAAGACTTGGTTGAATGTGATGATGATTAATGAAGGTTGAACGTATGACAAATAATAATAATGATAATAACCGTGAGATTCAGATGATTGATTGTTCACCATACATCATGTGCATGTGAGAGGGGGAGTTGTCAAGGCAAACAATGCAGCAGAGCTGTGGGATGCTTGTGTTTAGGTTCAGGAGAAGCTTGGGAGTAGTTAAGGATCTAATGGCTCAGAGTAGTTCACTGCAATCGAGTCACATCACCGTCAAACTCTTTGCTAATCCTGATGTGGACACTTATTACCAAGGTCATAGTAGGCATTCTCATAGCATGGAAATGTCAACAAATTCTTTTAAGGTAATTGTGTGCGCTTTTGTGTAGTAGGGAGTGGAGTCCTCTAGCCACTATTGACGAGGAGGATGATTATGACTGAGTAGAAGTATTGATAAGAGAAACGCGCATTGCATCACTTAACCAACAAATAATAAATCCATAATTAGTTGCATCATAAATCATTGCACATTGTGCTGTGTAAGATTAAATGTAATGTGAATGTTTGGTTAAATGTAAATTCCCTTAATTATTATATTTGAATGCAATGATTGTTTGATGAATTATATTATGTTTTGGACTCACCGTCTTGTGTACTTTTGGTATTCTCTTTTCCTTTGTTGTCTGTTATATTATATTGTACAGATAAGCATAGACCAAGCAAAGATTTGGGTCCTGTCCAGCAAGGAGGACATGTGGATCTACGACCCAGAAACGTGTAAGCACACCTACAAGTGGTTGGTGATCCTAGGTGTGGGGTCTGTGACTAAAAATGGCTGGGAGCCGTACTGGGTTGACAGCATTTTGGAAGAGATTTCCATCCCTTCACCTGAGTCAGAGCAGCATCTTCCCTTTACTATTCCTAACCTTTCTCCACCACAGCCTACTTCACCAATTTATGTACCACAGCCTGATGATGGGAGTTCTCCCATGGACACTCAGAGCCCTTTTTCGGACACCCCTACCGACATTGGCCATAACAATGTTCCTCTTAGAGACTCATCACCACCTCCAAAACTTGAATGGAAGGATGTTGAGGTCTGATAAGACCCAAGTTCACCATGGGTCAATAGAACCACTGGCCCATGAAGGAAAAGGAGGCCCAAAACAGTGGATTGTGTATGAACGTCGGAAGAAGAAAAATGTTGACGAGGCTTGCGGTTAAGGGAGAGAGAAGATTCAGTGATATATAGATTCAGTGATTTATGGAAGGGGATATTGTTATGATTTACGGTTATGGCTTTTGTGTAGGAGCCTAGCTCTTGGCAGAGGAGAATTCTCCCTTCTCTGAGTTTCCTTTCTTTGCATATTCACTAAATATAGCACCCATCATTTTATTCACATTTACAATTCTTAATTCTAGGTTGTTTGTTGATTCTGGTGTTATTGGGTGTCTATTAAGGTCATTGAGTCCTCCATTCGCCCTTTTCCCAAACCTTCTTCCCCTATTCTTGTACCACCCCCTGATGAGACGAGGCCTTTTGTATATCTCCCATCACCACCGCCACCTCAATCTATATCCCGATCACCCCCACCTTTCATTGGTTGGAGAGACAATGATGAAGAGCTTCCTCTTACTCCTCGCCCTAGGACATGGGGCACAGTTGCCTCTCCAGACAGCATGCAGTTGGATCTGACTAAAGACTTCATTCCTTTGGAGGAATTTATGTAGTCTTTGTTCTTTTCACTGATAATTACTAACAAATTCTAACAGGTATCATATACTAACACCTAAAACTAATAATAACATACACTTAATACATATCTATCCATCAACATATAGACAACTGTAAATGTCTGTTCTAAAAGTTAGGAAAATAGTTTGAATAAGGATAACAACCAAATTATCCAACTTACATATGATTTAGGTTCTGCTTTTCTTATGCCATGTTTATCTCCTTTATCTTTTTCTGGGTCATAACAGATTGGTTGCGTTTCACTTAACCAACTCTCTGCCTTTATATTCTAGCATTGGATGACTCTTTGGGTAAGAGAAAAAACATTCTTTATCCAAAATTACAATATACCATGTTATTTGAAACCGCAAGGGCTGCTGAGAGCCTGACACAAAATTGACTGGAAGATGGAGACTCTTTCTGCAATAGAAGTGAATAAAATTAGAAATGTTCAACTATGCAGAAGAGAGAACAAACATATACAGATGGAAAAATACACAAATTTCAAATTAATGTAGGAAAAGGTGGAAATGTAAAATGTACTGGAAAAATAAGATACCAGTTCCATGATGTTGCCTACACTTTCCCTTCCTCCTGATGCAATTGTGCTCATGTAGACCTGGTGATTCATGTAGATCAGCAAATAAATAAACAACTAGAGCAATCTTTTAATGGATCAAGAAATGCTCGTCACTCTAAAAACAATACTGGAACAGGAGCATTGTGCAAATAAATTAATAAAAAAACATAGGAATGAAATAAATACAGGAAAATACAATATAAAACTACGTACCAACTTTAAATTTCAGAAATGAATGAAATGAAGGATATATAGAGGAACAGAATTCTTTTACATAATTCTTATCCCTTTTGGTAGTGCATACAGATGCCCTTGGGCAAGAAACAGAGAATAATGTGTCTATATATTCCCCTAAACATTCACTGTCTTATAGCTGAAAAGCACAATAGTCAAATAGATTTAAGCAAAAAAAAGATAAAGAAAATAGCTTCAGAGCAATAACATTCAACAAGACCCATGGAAAAAGATATGAAAAACATAAATGGTTAAAATACACACTTAGTCTATATAGTTATAACTCATTTACAGATTAATCCTTATGCTAAAAAAACTTAAAATTTAGTTGCTACACAAGCTTTTCATTATTACACTTTAGTCAGTATTGCTTCAGTATAACCTCTACTTTGGTCCTTGATATTATAAAAAATAACAGGGATCAAAACATAACAAATGCTCATGTAGGACTAAAACGTAATTTTTAAGTATAAAAACTATTTCGTAAATGAATGCTAATTATAAGAACTAGATTTGTATTTCAACCAAGATATACAACTAAAGATATGTCAAACAGATATTAGCAATTTAGGAAATAACAATTAGTTGCTGTAAGTAAACCTTACATATTAGGAAAGAAATGAGCTTATACCCTTGATATAGATCTATCTTCTATCAAATTGAGTCTTCTGAGAGCAGCTCTTATGCATTTGGATTTCCATGTGTCAATAGTGGACCAGACATGGCACATAACCTACACCAAAGGAAATATAACATTAACTATAGATACAAAGGGAGATGAGATTTTTTATTTTTAAGAACAGAAGAGAAAAAGAATCATCCTTAAGTCTGTGGTGCACTTATAATGGTAAAGCAATCAATTAATAACAAGTTAACAACAGTTCATTGAAAATTCAATTTAAACTTTTAGACAAGGAAATCGTTGAAGAGTGTTGGTGGAATGTTGGAAGTGAAAGTAAATTCAGTGGGAGCAGACTGCAAAGCAGATTCGGGAGGAGCAAACTGCACCACATTGGCAGTTCTAGGGGGCCGACCATGCAGAGCATAACAATGATCAATAGTGGGGCCAATTTTGTGGGAGTGGTCACACTTAAAATGTGAGAGCAAGGCGGAAGAGTCAAAAGGGGTAGATGATACGAGCAAGAACAATGTCTGAGGCAGTGGTGGCCTTGGTAGGAATGCGTAGCAAAGAGGACCAAGCAATCCTCATAGTGGGAGCAAAAGTGGAAGGCAATAAGTTAACCATACAAAGTTAGCAACATAAAAAAGGTCTGACAGTTCTCCAATTCCATGGCAGCAATCTCATAGGAAGGTAGAAGTTCATTAAAGTCATGAAGACCACTCATACGACACAAATAGTTTGGCATAGTGCAATCAAGTTTCTAAGCCGCAGCATCCATGAGATTTTGACATACTCTAGAGACTTTGTATGTCACTGGTGTAAAGTAACTTGGCTTGTGACCAAACTAATTCACATGTATCATGGGAGTAAAAAATCTGCTTCACAAAATAATGAATAATGGACTTGATGAAACTGCAAAGTTGAGCATCAATCTTACTCCATTAAGCACGTTCATTCTATGCCACAGTTGCTTCTTTGACGGTCAAGATAATCTTGACCCTTGAGCCAAAGTTTGATGTCAGAGGCCCAAGAAGCAATTTTTGTCATCCAACTTGTTAGTAGACAGCTCAGTAGTGATAAAGTTGGTGAAAATAGATGCTTCAAGTTTGGGAGGGGCCAGAGTTGCCATGGGTCAAGCAGCAATATCAGAGGCAAAGAGTTAAGCCCAAATTTCTTAATATGGTATCAGAATAAAAAATAAGATGTCTCACATTGGTTAAGAATAGAGCCAAAATACTCTTTATAAGGACTAAGGTAGTCCTCCCATGAGCAAGCTCTTAGGAGTGAGTTGGGTGTGAATTTCTCAACATGGTATCAGAGCCTAACAACGAAGAAATCCTAATCCATCCTTTCTCGGTGGGCCTAAATTTTTTTTCAGAAACCGTGTCTCTGATTTCTGATTTTTTCTGACTGCCACTGTTCACTCTGCTGGCAACTTTTCTGACGGCCACTATTCGCACCGCTGGCGACTTTTTCGACATGCTTTTTTACCAGCTTTCTCTCCTTCTCTAGCGCTGTCTCTGACTGCTGCCTATTTTGTCAGGCTGTCCTCCAATCTGTACTTTATTCTTCGATCCAAGTTACGGGTCCCTAATTTTTTCCATTTTTGGCCCTGTTTGGTACTGTTCATGCTGCACTATGGCCACCTCTACCCCTTCCTACATCAAAATTCAGCAATCGCCAGCACATGCTCCTTCCCCCACATATAGTGACTTTCTACAATGGTTTGAGGAGCATCAAGCCTTTGGTCCCACTACTTTTGTTGTGCACACGAGTAATTCTTTTGTTGATGTCTCTCCCTCTTCCTCCCTTGGACCATGGGCCGTTGATTCTAGGGCCATTGACCGCTAATGCGTCCCAAACACAATCTCAGGGTATTGGTACTGTCCACCCTTTTCCGTCCCTCTCTATTGATAATGTTCTTGATGTTCCCGTATCCCCTTTTAACTTACTTTCCATTAGTCATCCCACTTGTTCCCTTGATTGTATTATCTCTTTCACAAAAGATTTTGTGTACCTGCAAGACCGGTGTTTAAGGAGGATGATTGGCACTACATGTGAGTCTCATGGTCTCTACCATTTAAATGCTTCTACTCATGCTGGTTCAATAATTGATTCACCTCTTCTTATTCATGCCCAGTTACGACATCCTAGTTTAACCAAGTTACAACACTTGGTACAAAGTCTTTCCAAGTTATCTACTTTGTCCTATGAGTTGTTTCAATTAGGAAAATATACTCGCCGTTCTTTAACTAGTCGTGTCCATTGCAGTTCTACTTCTCCCTTTTCTTTAGTTCACACTTATGTGTGAGATCCTAGTCACACTGTGTCTTAACATTAGTTAATAATAGAGCCAAAATACTCCTTATAGAGTAGTCCTCCTCCTACGAGATAGCTTTTGGAAGTGAGTTAGGCCTATGTTTTTTAACATGAATCAAGTTGGAAAAGGCTCAAAGTGACATTGACAGGTTGCTGCCCCATTTCTATCATTTTCCCCACTGCATTTGCTAAAGTGCCAACCATTGTATGAATATGGGCAGCAGATTTCACCCTTTCCATTGCAGTTGCAAGTTGCAACTATATCAATTCACTCATCCCTTTGTCTTCCCACCTTATGAACCCTTCGAAACACCTTGGAACTCATCATGTGAATTCCCCCAGGATCAAATAAGTCCACTTTAGGACTGTCTTGCTTCCAAATCCCTTCAAAAGTCTTTCCCACATTGTAAAAAAAAGCACCCCTGCTCATGGTAGTTAAAATCAGGAGTAGAATCATAAAATTGTAGGATTTTACGATTTTTCTCAACTGAACGATTCAGATCACAATGGAAATCGGAGCATAGTGAAATTGTAGTAAAATCACAATTTGGATCGTGAAATCAGTAAAATCTCAATTTGCTTCCGATTTCAGCAAAACACAGGTTGGATCTGGATCTCGGCCCAAATCCTTTATAACCTGAGCCCAACCCAGCTTCTTAATTAGGAGCAAATGAAGTCCCGTGTTATTTTCTTCTTTTGCAAATGAAGTCCAGCGTTCTTTTCTCCTTCGTCGAACCCTAGACTTGCTCAAAGTGACTTCATGTGCATTGTTAGCTAAATCCTTCTTTTCTTCTTCACAACTCTCTGGTTTTCTCTGCCCCAATCCTACTCGTTAGTTATTTTCTTCTCATCTTCCTCTAGTTTCTTTGTGGAACCCTAAACCGACTAGGCGACAACGACTTTTTTTCTTCTTGCTCTATTGTTTTTCATCTTGTTGGAGAATGGCTTCAAACATCACCCCTGTTTCCACGAGCATTCTGGGGAACCAACCTATGAGGCACGCTTGAAGAGCCATAGCATTGGAGCTATCGGTTATAGTTGCGAGTGACCCAGAAAAACAACAAGATGAAAATATCGATTTTCAGTTCAAGGAACTGTGAAGGTTCAATGCAAAGTCTGCCAACAAGTACTAAGTGGAGGTATTTATCACCTAAAGCACCACTCGGCTAAAACAAATCAAAATGTTGAACCTTGCAAATCTGTTCCTAAGGAAGTGAATAAGAAGATGATTGATTTTTTACTACTTCCTTGATGAAAAAAGTAGCTAACATAGATGACTCTTTGGAAACAGGTGAAAAGAGAAAAGCCATTGAAGGTGCTGAAGTTGAGAGTGTTGGGATCGGACAGTTTTGCAAGAAAAGGGGTGTTGGTCCACAAGCCACAATAAACAGCATATTCAAGAAGGGTATAAGGGAGGATGCATATTGCAAGATTTTTGTACAATAATGCCATGGCTTTCAATGTGGCAAGAAGTGAAGAATTTCCTGCCATATGTGAGTTAATTGCACAACACGGTGCAAGAAGTGAAGTTGACATGGGAACTTATTGAAGAACATAAGATTGTTTGGAAGAGTGTTGGTTGCACGATAATGACAAATGGGTGGACTAACAAAAGGAGGAGAACCATTCTAAACTTCTTAGTAAACAGCCCCAAAGATACAGTATTTTTGAAGTCAATAGATGACTCCCACATCACCAAAACAGCTGACAAACTATTTAGCATACTTGATGAAGTTGTGGAAAAGGTTGGCAAGGAAAATGTAGTGTAGATTGTAGGTGATAATGCAGCAATCTATAAAGCTGTTGGAGAGATGTGGATGGAGAAAAAGAGGAATTTATACTAGACTCCTTGTGCTGCACACTGCATTAAACTAATATTGGAAGACTTTGAGAAAAAGATACCTCTCCATGAGGAAACAATCCCAAAGTGCAGAAAAATCACAACCTATATTCACACAAGGACTTTTCTCATTTCATCATTGCAACGCTTCACAAAAGAAACAGATTTGGTGAGACCAGGTATCACTCGATTTGCCACTTCATATTTAACTTTGGGGGTGCCTTCATGAGAACAAAGGAGCTCTATTAAGAATGTTCTCGTGTGATGAATGGAAATCCAATACGTTTTCTAGGACAAGAGAGGGGAAATTGGTGGAGAAAGTTGTTTTGGACAATCAATTATGGAAGAATGTTCTAATCCATGGTAGTCAAAATCGCATTTTGGATCGTAGAATCACATTTTGGATCGTAGAATCATACGATTCTACGATCTCTAGCCACGCCTCCGTGTTGAGTCGGTGCTAGGAACACAAAATGGTGGGATCGGCTGGGACGTAAAAACGTTGAAAACACATGATTCCGATGTGCACAGAAGAAGATATTTTGGGCCAACGACCCGCGACCCAACCCGACTTTGGAACCCTAAAATCCCAAAAACTCCGCGCTGCGACTTCTTCCTTTCTTCTTCATTTTGTTCTACAAAACTTTACATCTCTGTTGTGCGTTTTTCCAGCGACTGCAATTTGGCTCCCCGACTGGATTTTTAATGTGATTTGGTCTGGGATTTTCTGCTTTTTGTGCTCTGTTTTGGTTTGCGATCCCTGCAGCTTTCGCTCCGATGACTGTGTCTGCTCCAGCGAACTTGTCTGTGCCAGCACTGTGCTTTGCACCGGCGACCTTGTCAAAGCGGAGCATTTTGCTGTGGTGGTCATCCTAGTTGTATTTGCAATCATTGGAGCCTCATTTGCAGTGCAACAGTGCCGCTGGAGTATAAGTAGTCAACAATCTGACTTTAGGATTTTTTAAGGGTAAAAAAGACTTCTTAATTTTTAAAAATAATCTGACTTTCCCTTTTAGCCCTTAAAATGACTTTATTTTAAATCTTTTTTAGGGGTAAAATAGTCTTTCTAACGGAATACCTTACCTTATCCATCTTTTCCTTCTTCTCTATTTCTGTTTTTAGCATTTCCTTGTCTCTGGTTTGAACTCTTCCCTCATTTGTCTTTGTTTTACTTCCTCATCTTTATATTTATACTATTTTATATGCATTTATACAATTTTGTAGGATCTTACGATCCGTGTTACAATCCTACGAGTTACGATCTTTCATCCCCTCTCTGATCCTACACAGAATCTCGATTTTGACTACCATGTTCTAATATATTTAAAGGGTGCATATCCTTTAATCAAAGTCACTCGTTTGGTTGATTCAGATGAGAAGCCAGCCATGGGCTTTGTTTATGAGGCAATAGACCAAGCTAAAGAGGCTATTCATATAGATTTCAATGGTATCAAGAAGAGGTAATTGATTATCTATCAAATTTAGTTAAAATTAAAATTTTGTAGTCTTTTATTCATTGTTAGAAAATTAACCCATTTTATTTATTCTTTAGTTACATATCTCTATGGAATATAATTGATATATAGAACAAACAACTTTGTAAGCCAGCCCTCAATTGCATTATAGTCTTGGATTTAAAGTTGATCTTAAAGTTAAACGAGGACTATATGATTATATGGCAAGAATGGTGTCTAATATTAAAGAACAGGGCAAGATTGATGTTCAAATTGATGATTTCAAGAAACAACAAATGTTTTTCAGTAGCCCTTTAGCTAGAGCAACACTTCAGAAGGAGATCCCAACTGATTGGTGGGAGTCAAATGGAGATGAACATTCAAAGCTTCAAAAGTTTGTCATTCGTGTATTAAGTTTAACATGTTCCCCTGGATGTAAGCACAATTAGAGTGCATTTGAGATGATAAAATTTTTAGTAAAGTTGTTTTCAATTATCTACAAGCCTACAGATTGCTTATACATATTTGAATGTGTTTAGGTCTATATCAAAAAGAGAAATCACTTGAAGCAAATGACAATGACTGATGTTGTCTTTGTAATAGCTAATTCAAAATTGGTAAAAAAGAAGCAACTTAAGAGCTCGTGAACTAGACCTTGACAATGTTTGGGGATATTGAATGGTTGGATTTGGATGGAGATGAGACCTTAGCACAGAACCAAGCTGGCCACAATGCTGTTGAGAATGATGTTGATATGCTGAATTTGGATGATGAAGTTGATGCAGATGAAGATGAATAACATATGGTGGATCTTTATGATTTTAATGTGGCACAATTGTTAGATTAGACATCTTAGAATATTACTAGTTAGTAGTTCCTATTTATATTTGATGTTTGTACTTTTTAATTTACCAAAAACATGGTCATTTGGCTATTTTGGGTTGTTAACTTGTTACATTATGGATTATGCTTGATAGTCTTCTCATGGAATATGTATTATTTAAGTACTTTTAGTGATTTAATGTTTTTTTTTAATTTCAGCTATTTTATATTCAGAATATGAACTTATATGCATGTATATATAGTTTTTGTAAAATCTTACAATTCGATTTATGATTTTACGATTTTTACTTCCCATTTATGATTTTACAATTTTGACTTCCCTTAACGATTTGAAGTAAAATCTCGATTTTAACAACCTTGCCCCTCTTGAACACCTTATATGAAACATATTTAGGCCATTCTTTGTCATCTCCAATACCCCTTTCTTAAAAGTAGGAAAAGAAGAATAATAGAAAAAAAGGATTTTATTATTTAGTAGACATATATGATCCACTATTTATATTAGGGGTAGGATAACCCTTAATTTATATCAAATAATTGACCCATTATGTCATTGAATATTAAGTGTTAACAATCAAAAATTATAAGTCTTAATTAAGGAATTATGGTTCTTAACTCAATTGCTCACAACCTGTCATTTTTGTAACCATGCAACATTTTATTTTCTAATTATTATTTCTAACAATAAAGGCACTGGGCACCTGGTTTAGAGAAACTTCAAGCAAATAATGAGCTTCTTCAAAAGTAGAGAGGGAAAAGTCATCCCATGCAAGTGTCATTGTTAGAATGGAAACACTTTCCAGCTCATCCAACTCAATCTGTCATAACAAAATTTACAGTTTAAAAGCTAAAAATGGGACCATCAAACTAATGGCAATAACATGGAAAAACCTTGACCTGAGGGATGAAAAAGCAAAAAGAACCCTCCTCATGAGTCACAGAAACCGGATCATTATCCAAATTAACATCCATAAAACCATAAGCCACTAAATGGGTTGAATCAGTTGAGATGTATCTGCGGAAATAAATTAATTCTTTGGTTAGCTTCATAATAAATAAAAAATTCCATGCTTGGCCAAAAAAGTTTGATAGCATGCAGAGCCTTCTTCGAATACATAATAAATGTCTACATAATCCAATCCAATGACTGATACACATGGCAAGAAGTAACAAGTAGTCTCAAGTCATGAGCAGATAGAAATCAGTCATTGGAAGCAAAAACTGACCTTTTGATGAAAGTGGGGTTGGGAGAGGCAAAAGAAACAGCAACACCAATGCCAAAAACTCCTCGGCCTCCACTGACATAGATTGACTTAGAGTCGGCGTTGGTCTTGGAAACAAAAATGAGAGGAAACACTGGCGAAGACTGAGGTTGAGAGCAAAACAAGGAGAAGGCCTTAGAGCTGGGAGGCACGGCCACCTGAAAGCGAAGGAAACCAGTGGAAGAGAGAGGACGCGACACCTTCAACAATTGAAGAGCCTCCTTCAATTTCTCAAGTCCCTCTTCCAATGTCAGTGCTGGAGGCAGAGTCCTCGTCATGCACTGCTCGAAAACCACTTCCTTTTCCACAACGTCGTCGTTTAGGGGCACCGGCCCATCCATCCTCACTCCTCCCCCAACCACTCCTACAACAAACTCACTCTTACTCTTACTCTTACTCTTACTCCTCCTCGCCCACACCCTCCCACCACTCCCCACACAACGAGGTCCCTCAACCATAAACATTGCCCCATTGCACGCCCCCCACACTCCCAAGGGCGCCACAGCCAAATTCATTGCTCAGTACAAGATGGATAACAACGGATAAGAAAGAAAGAGGGAAAGCCTAGCTTATGTGTGTAACTCCCCTTGCTTTTGACTCAATAATTATTTATGAAAAATAAAATATTTTATTTTTATATTTAATAGTATTTAAAATATTATTAATGATAAAATTATGGAGTTAACAATTATTTTTATTTTTATATTTAATATTATAAAAAAAATCTAAAAGTTACTAAAGCAGAAATTTTAATTTTTTTATTTAGATTAATAATTAAAATTTTAATAAAAATTTACATTAAATTAACTTTAAATATCAAACGAGAAGATCAGAGTTTTTCTTTATTTTTTTCTCTTTTTTTTTCTTTTTTATTTTTTTCTTTTCTTGGCAGAGAAAAACGGAAGGACCAATAGATAGATAAAGTAAAGTGAGTTTTTCAGAAAATTTTAGAAACGAATATTCTTGATAAATCCTATCTAAAATTAATGATACAGAAATATATATATATATATATATATATATATATATATATATAAATCCAAAAAATGTGTGTATGCCAAAATTAAAAATAGGCGTATATTAAACAGTGTTGTGCATTTGTTTATACAAGTGCAATTAAAAGATTACATTTAAATAATAATAATAAAATTTGAACTTATCTGCAGTGTTGAATTTTAATTTAGGCGTGGCTTTGTCATGACCAGGGATCTTGTATCTTTTTTCCGTTACATTACTCCATTTATAATAGATGTTATTTTATGAAAAGTTTTTATTTTTTAATTTATTTTAAATATTTGAAATTTGTAAAATATAGTTAAAAAATAAATATTTTTATATTAAAATATTTTAAATACTTTATTTTATAAAATAATGTGTGATTTTTCATATTTAAATTTAATTCATATCAAGAATTTTATTATTTTATTTACTTATAAAGTTAAATGGCTTTTAAAAAATATTATTAATCTATATTTTAGTATCTTAATTAAAAAATTTATTAATTTTATTTAAAAACTCATTAAGAATTTATAAAATTAAAATAAATCGACATTCATAAATAAAAATAAATTTAAAGTACACAAAACTTTATAAGTATAATTAATTATTAAAAATACATATACTATCATATTTTAATTAAAAAATATATTTTAGTTCAGTTGAAAACAAAATAAAAACGAGAGCATGGCTCACACACATAAAAAATTAAGTTACGAATCAAAAGAAAATAAATAAAAATTTTCTTTTTTTATAAATACTATTAAATATATTTATATTTTTTACAGATTTGAACAAATATATTTATATTTTTTATTAATTAATTTAGTATAAAAATAAATATAATTTAAAAAATAATTATTTAATGTAACACAAAAATAAAAATAAAAAATTTAATTATTTTTAAAATAATTATATAAAAAATAAATATAATTATGTGTTATTCAAATTTGTTTATATTTTTTATTAAATTTATTTATTTTAATATAAAAAAATTATAATTTTAAAATAAAAATATATAATCATAAAATTTTATTATATTAAATATAATTATATTAAAAAATATAATAAATATATTTTAATATATAACTTTATATATATTTTATATATTTTTCATTCTCTTCAATAATAAAAATTATTATTCTTTTAGTTGATGTACACATAAAAAATTATTTTTTTAAAAATCAATTAAAAAGAATATGAAAATGAAAATATATAGTAAAAGATTTTAATTATTTTAAAATATAAATAATGTAAATTTACTATATTATTATTAATAAAAAAATTTAAATTAAAATAAAAGTACATAAAAAAATATATATCAATAAGTAGAAATATAACAAAAATATTTTTTAATAAAAAATGAGTTTTTGTATTATACTCGAGCAAGATCCATTTAAATGAAGTTTAATTTTTATTTTTTAAGAATTAAAATAAATATTAATATAAATTATTTATAATATTATTAATTGATAATTTTAAAATAATTTATTTAAATTTAATTTATAAAAAGTAAATGTATACTAATAATTAATAATTTTAATTTAAAATATTTTTAACTTTTAAATTATTATTAATTTTAAAAATATGATATTCTAAATAATTACATCAATACAAAAATATATATTTATCTTACATTATATTTTATAATTTAGTTTATAGCTGAATAATAAATTGTAAGTTCATTATATGGTTGAATACTTTAAAAACTTAAAAGTATTTAAATTCAATTTTAATCTCAAAAAAAATTTAAATAATTAAAATGTAAATATTAATAAATAAATATAATATGAAATATTAATATTAAAAAAAATATTCTTATGTTATTTTAAAAAATAATTCATATCTTTATTTGATTTTATATTTTTTTAATAATCGTAAGAGAAATATTTGAAACGTAAAAAAATTATTAAAAAGTTGAAGAGTTCAAATTTACCTTTAAAACAAATAATATATATAAAAACTAAATATAATATTTAAATTTAATTTATATTTAAAATATTATAAGTTATTTATTTATTTATTATAGTATAAAAATATTAAATATGCAAATCCAAAAATTACAATAAGATTTTAATAACAAATTTATATATTACCTTTTCATTGTAATGATATTTAATATTATTTAATTTATTTTAATTATTTTAATTAGATAATTTTAATCTAAAATTTAAAGTCATAACCATTAATGTAATGTTTAAAAACAAATAACACCACTCTTAAAATTTAATTAATAAATAATTTTAGTTAAAAGATGAATAAGAAAAAAATATAAAAAAATTTAAATTACTATATCACTATTTAATTATATCATCATCAAAATTTCATATAAATTTTTTGAAATTCTCATAGTTGGAAAAAATCACAAATCTTGTAATATCAATATTTTTAATAGTATACATATAATTTACATCTCAATGTTAAAATGACAACGAATAACTAAAAATTTAGTTAAAAAAATGAAAGTACTGTAATAGACTTTTTAAAAAGCTTAAATTAATTAAATAGACAGGCTAAGTTTTAAAAAAGTTAAATTGTAAGCCCCTGTAAGATGTTTTAGTTTATTTCCATCCTTAATTTTAATACACAAATATAAAGTAATATAATATAAAGAATTATTGACAAGTTTTCAAGAGTTATGTAAAAATTGCTTATTATATAAGTAAAGATAAATATATATTTAATAATATATCACAAGATGAAAGATCAATTTAATAAATGTTATCTTTTTATCTGTATTATAATTTATTTACCTTTTCATCGTAAAAATAATTTAATAATATGCAATACAAAATTATAATTTGTGAGTTTGTAATTTTTTTATTTTAAAAATATTTTAATTTTTAATACACATATTTAAATGCTAAATATATTTAAATAATTAATAAAATTATTTAAGTCAATATCATTCAAATTTGAATAAGATCTAAAATAATTTATATGATTTTATTTTCAAGATTTGTTAAATTTCTCTGAGGTTATTTTTGTATAATTTTAAGTAATTTTTTTATTTTCAAATTTTATGGTGAGCCTTTTCACTTTTTTATATAATCAAACTTAACAATTTTTTATTAAATGCAATTTATTATGAATTTGTTATTTCCATTCTTGACATTGTATAACTATCGATGTAAAATTTTTATATATAATTAATTTTAATAAATCTTTTTGAATAAAATCAAATATAATAATTATAAATTAATTATAATTTAAATTTCTAAGATAGGTGAAACATTTAATTTATTTCAATAAATTTTTATTAAATACAATTTATATTTACTTTATTATTTTTGTTTTTAATTTACACCAACATCTATTTTGATAATATGTGTGATCATAATAAAATAAATATAAATTGCATTTAATAAAAATTTATTGAAATGAATTAAATGTTTCACATTGTATAACTATCGATGTAAAATTTTTATATATAATTAATTTTAATAAATTTTTTTGAATAAATTCAAATATAATAATTATGAATCAATTATAATTTAAATTTCTAAGATATGTGAAACATTTAATTCATTTCAATAAATTTTTATTAAATATAATTTATATTTATTTTACTATTTTTGTTTTTAATATCTATTTTGATAATATGTGTGATCATAATTACATATGACTTTAAGTATTTTAAAATTTTCAATAAATTTTTATCAAATGCAATTCATAATTAAGTTATTGATTTATTTTTAACAGTGTCAAAAAAATTTTTTCAAGATTTTGCCTATAAATAGGGGGTTTTGCACGAAATTTTCACTTCTTCACACTTCTCAAAGGTTCTAGAGAGACCCAAGGCCACATATTACCATTTTCTCTCATAATAAACCTTCCTAAACTTAGATTTCTCGCCAGATATGAGATTCTATGTCTATACTGAAGGATTTGAAGTAAGTTTAAGTTTCTATAAGTTTGAAGTTAGATTTACCTTTTATTTCTCTTCTTCTTTTATTTTTTATAGATAGTTGATGATATCTTAGGAGAAACTTCGTTGTAAAGCTAAATCTTCAGTGGATCTTACTTTAAAACAAGTAATATTCGGTAGATCTAGTGTGAATTGTTGTTCTAAGGTAAAGGGAGCTTACTTTAACTATTAAACGATGTTTGAAACGATTTGATATGTTATTACAAAAAAGTTTTGAGATAATTTTGTCATATCTCTTGGATAAAAGCTATTTTCTATGTTGTAACTGCTGTTAATTGATTTAAAAGATGAGATTTGACTGAAATATTATGAATTATTTTAACTGAGCTGTTGAGAATATGATTTTGACTATGCTATATCATGCTAAGATATATGACTTGCATCATTATAAAGTCAAGTTACACATTTAGGTGGGTAGACGTGTAACGATAGAGTATGCTAAGTTATGCTGTGCTGTCTGGAT